CTGTAATCCCGCCACTCCAAAAAATACAACAGCGTTATCTTTGTTTAATGTCATAATTATCAATGCCATGACATAATACTCCATCAAGCTCGTATCACAGTTTTATCATTAATTGGTAACACTTCAGTGAGCATCAATACACCATTAAAATTTATCCTATTTGTTTGCCGCCAGTTTTTTTGTCTCTCCCCGCTAGAACATTTTTTTATTTTTTTAAATTTTTGTTGAAAATAGTACAGATGTCCCTTCTTCTCCCCAATGACCCGTTCCACCCGGTCCCACCCCCCTCCCCAGTCCCTCTCCCCACCACTGTCCGTGTCCTTGGCTTGTGCATATATTCTTTGGTTACTCTCTCCCCCTCAACCCACCCACCCTCCTCCATCTCTCTGAGATTCGTCAGTCTAATCCATGTTTCCATGTCATTGAATCTATTCTGTTCATCAGTTTATTAAGTTCTTTAGATTCTACATATAAGTGAGATCATGTGATGTTTGTCTTTTGCTGCCTGGTTTATTTCACTTAGCATAATATTCTCCAGGTCCATCCATACTGTCCCAAATGGTACGAGATCCTTCTTTACAGCTGCGTAGTATTCCATGTTGTAAATGTCCCACGGCTTTTTTATCCACTCATCTACTGATGGGCACTTGGGCTGTTTCCAGATCTTAGTTATTGTAAACTGCGCTGCTATGAACATAGGGGTGCATATATTCTTTCTGATTAGTGTTTCAGGATTCTTAGGATACATTCCTAGAAGTGGGATCACTGGGTCAAAAGGCAGAATATGAACTTTTTAAACAAGAGCAAAACTCTGGTGTCTTAGTCAAACAGCTCATTAGTGAACTAGAAAAGTTCATGGCACATAGACTCTCAAATAGTTTTTTAGTGTATGGATGAATATAATAGACATTTTAGTTCAAAATGTATATACTCTAGGACACATTTCTAATCATTGCAACATTTGTGTCAAAATGTATGAATGACATGAATACTTTACAAAAGAGAATAAATGGTTAGTAAGTACATGGAAAGGAGCTCAAGTCATTGGTTATTAAGGAAATGCAAATCAGTCACAATGAGATAACACTGCATGCCCATTTGCATGGATCAAATTAAAGATTGACCCACCATGTATTGGTAAGGATGTAGAATGTTAAGGAAAAAATATTCAGTGACAGTTGTTAAAGATGGTAAGACAGACTTGGTTACGGACCATTAAGGTAGGTGTAGGGATCACCACAATGGGATTTTGCAGTGCAGGACAGAGATTGGGCTCAACTCCAAATACAGCATGGGCAAGTGGGAATTTATAACAGGGGAGGGGCTGTGTCAGTGGGTGGAAAATTCCTAAGAGGAGACATTAGGGGTATGGGAGTTCTGTCTGGTTAAACCAACCAAACACAATTTTTGCTGAAGACAACCTAGGGTTGATCAGGCATCAGCTGGGGAATGGTGAAAGATGAAGAACCTGATCAGGTGCTGAGGGTGATCAGATATCAAGGGTGTGGGAGGTTCTTGCTAAAATTGGATTGAACAAGAAAGTGCACAGATGGGCCTAGGAGAAGGTTCAGGACCCTGGGTAAAGTTTGGTCATGCAAAGAAACCTTGTCAGATCAACTGAACTTTCATAGGCTTCTGGAAAGAATGTAAAATGGCACAGTGGTTTTGTATAACTGGCACTTTCTTGAGAAGTTAAACATATCCTACTCCTGGTTTTTATCCAAGAAACATGAAACATATCCACAAATAGACTTGTACAGAAATGTTCATAGCAGATTTACTCATAGCCCCAAACTGGAAACAACCCAAATGTCCATCAACAGGAGAATAGATAAGTTATAGTACATTTATTCAATGGAATACTACTGAGCAATAAAAAGGAACAAACTGTTGATACACATGATGAAATAGATTGATGACAGACACAAGAGATGCATACTGTATGATCCATTTATATGAGATTCAAGAATAGGAAAAAAGTGAAATCTATAATGATAACAATTGAACAGTGGTTGCCTCTGGATGGGGGAAGGTTGGGCAGGAGACAAGGGAACTTCCTGGGGTGATAGAAATGTTCTAGATCTTGATTGGGTTACATAGATGTATGAATTTGTTAAAACTCGTAGAACTGTACACCTCATTTTATTGTGCTTTATTGTCCTTCACAGGTGTTGCGTTTTTTACAATCTGAAGGCAAGGCCCTCCCCATCAGCAAAAAGATTACAGCTCACTTTATTGCAATGCTTGCTTTATTATGGTGGTCTGGAACCAAACGTGCAATATCTCCGAGGTATGCCTGTATTTAAAATGTCATTTTATTGTATATAAATTATACCTCTCATAATCAGACTCAAATGTTACAAAAATCACAAGGGTGCTATATGATGAACTGGAAGATTACCCAATTGAAGGCAGGAGCTAGTGTAGTAGACCAGATGACAATAGTGACCTAGACCAGGCTGAATTGAAGAAATACTAGATTGAACCATATGAAAATGCCCCTTTTGTAGGTCATTAATGGTCAAATAGTGGCAATTTCATTAGGTTCAACCCAACAGAAAGTAGAGTTGATAGGCGGGTGGATTAAAAATGGCCTGTTATTTGTCCTGGCTGGGTAGCTTAGTTGGTTTGAGCATTGTCCTGATATGCTAAGGTTGCAGGTTTGATCTCTAGTCAGGGCACATACAAGAATCAACCAATGAATGCATAAATAAGTGGAACAATAAAATTGATGTTTCTCTCTCCTTTTGCCCACCCTCCCTTCTCTTTCTCTCTAAAATCAATTTTTTAAAATATCTAGGTACTTCATAGCTTCTCCCATTAGGAGATGAAGTTTATTTCCCCACCCATGATATCTAGGCTGTTCTTGTGATTTGTTATGACCAAAGGTGACAGAAATGCATTGGGGAAGTTCTCAGCCAAAGCTTCAAGAGAACTTGCACCTTCTGCTCTCTTTCTTGGAAGCTGGAGACTATCTACCATGCTGTGAAGATGAAAGACCACATGGAGTGATCCTGTTATTTTCTTGGCAGAACTTATACATCAGCTAGGGGAATGTAGCTGCATGAGTGAGCCTGGGAGAGACCAGCAGAGCCACCCAGATAATCCTCAGAATTGTGAAAAAGTCATTTTAAGTCATTGTTTTTGGGTGATTTGTTATACTGCGATGGATCATAGATACAAAAGGAGTTGGTGATTATTGGATGGGGGTAGGGAGGAAGACATGATGAATCCAGGTTTCTGGGTTGAGCAACAGGCAGTTGTAATGCCATTTTGTGAGCTTAAGTTAGGGGAAGAGCCAAGAGCAGAACATGGATTTTTTTAGAGTGGTGGTTTCTGGTGGTAGTAATAGATGATGGGTTCAGTTTGGGATATGTTGAGTGCAGAATTCCTGAAGACATCCCAAGTACAAGTGTCATGTAGACAGTGTTTCTACAACCCTAGAGCTCAAGAATTGGATCTTGGTATAGATTCAGGAGTTGCCAGCAGAAGGAAATAAGCCACAAGAATGAACAAGATTGTCCATGGGAAAGAAAGAGGAAGAAATGGCCCAAAAAAGAGCTGTAAGGAACAGTCACATTTAAGAGGTGAATAGAGGAGGAGCCTGCCAAGGAGACTGAGAAGTGGCCAGAGAGAAGGAAGACCAGTAGGTGTGGTGTGTCACTTTAGTCACCAGAAGAGTGGTTAGAAGAGGGGATATCCATAGTATTAAACACTGCTGAGGAGTCAAATATGATTTTAAAAAATGTTTTGGTTTTTTTTGTATTAGTTACATGCAGGTCATTGGTGTCCTTAGTGAAAGCTATTTCCGAGGAACAGTGGGACAGAAGTCAGATTGCAGAGAGACAAGGAGTGGGAATCAGTGTGTAGAAGTAACTCTTACAAGATTTTTGGTCATCAAGGAGAAATGTAAGGCTGGAGAGGGAGGGTTGGATTTTAAATAGGCGGTAGGGTTATAGGAGATATGTTAAAATATCACCAAGAAAATTAATGGGTGGACTTTGAGGAAACTGTGGTTAAGTGAAATAAGCCAGTCACAAAAAAAACCAGTCAGGTAAAACTGCAGGGGGTTCCTAAGAACCTGATATCTATGTCCCAGACCAGGAGAAACCTGAAGAAAGTCTGAAATCTACAACAGTTTGGGTGGTATTAGTGAAGGAGAGGGGTCAGTCTCTTTTTGCAAAGGTGACAAGCTCAGCTGACATCATACAGGCTGTGCAGGAGAGTCCACCCTGATGCCATCTGTTCTTTCTAAACCTTCCTCTTGGGTTTCTCCCCAGAATTATTTTGTAAAGTGCATTTAATTATTGAGTCACAAATCCTCTTTGGAATAAAAACAGTAAATAGGTATATAAGCCTGCATTCTTCCCCTATATCCCTCCATTCCCTTTCTTCTGCATTTTCAATGGCATCCTGGCACTTGCTGTGTGATGGGACTGATGTAATAATTTTCTAACTGGTTTATCAGATGCCAGCCTTTTCCAGATCCAGTACATCCTGTATACTCCTGCTAGACCAATTTTCCCAACCTGCCCCCCACCCCCGCAAAAACGATTTAATCACTTCCTATGCTTTAAGAATTATAATTTACTAGTAAATCCAAATACTATTCAATCAAATCTCCATTTTCTACCTATTGAGACTCTGCCCATGTGGCTAGGCTCCTCACCTTACTACCCTTTTTGTATACTGTGTTTATCCTGGTGAAGTTCCTTTAGTCTTCACAGGGCCAGTCTACGTAAGGCACTATTCTTGTCACTTGAAATCCCTTTTCTCTCATAAGCAAACTCCACTCCTTCATGAATCTTCTCTAACCTCAGAAATCCTTATCTTCTGAATACCAATGGCACTTTGAATGAAATGGCCTTCAAGTTAAACAATAAACAAGAGATGGGAACAGCAAAGGGAGACCACTTTCCGAGTCCTATTTTTATTCCTTTCCTAGGACTAGAAAAATAGAATTTAGGGACTTTGTATTTGCTGGCACCTACCTTATTTCTGATTAGCTAGCACTGGTTTCTGGTTTACCAGCAGGAAAAAGAGGGAATGTGAATAGCCCTCTGGCATCTGGGTAGGGTCCTTGGCCTACGGAGCTATCCCAACTACTTACATTGGAGCAACATCAACTTTGAAATGGAACAGTAATATAAGGTGATGACTGGCATATGGAAAAATATCTGAGTCTTCACTTACGTATGAGTACTAATATCAGCAACCAAAACATGCTGTTTTCTTCTTATAGTCATTAATGATATCTTAGTAACATGAACACATCACAATTAAGTTCAGTTAATATTAGTAAACATCAATAGTTGATTCGTTCTTATGCATACAGCCAATGAATGACACTCAAAAGAACCAATAAAATCCATTATTTATGGATAATGAACATATCCAGAATCTTCCATTAGATCAACATCTCCTTTTCCCAAGTGAATTTCTCTGTTCTAGGGCACAGTTTATCATTCCATATATAGGAACGTACTAAAAAACAGTAAAAGAAATTCTGAGGACTGAAGTTCACCAAGGGCTCAATACATTTTTACATCACTGATGTCTCAAAACTGAACAAGGTCCAAGAGGCAGCTGTGGTCCATTGAACCCTGGGGGCCAACCACTGGTAGCAATGAATGTGGACTATGAAGGAATATGGACTGTAGTAACACTGGGTGACATTCCAGAGCCATCCATAACAGTGAGTCTTACCTTTTTTTTTTTTAATGCTCACCCAAGGATATTTTTTCCATTGCTTTTCAGAGAGAGTGGAAAGGAGAGAAACACTGATGTGAGAGAGACACATCAATTGGTTGCCTCCCGTTCTCGCCCGGACTGGGGTGCAGCCTGCAACCGAGGTAGTGCCCTTGGCTGGAATGGAACCCGGGACCCTTCAGTCCACAGGCCAACGCTCTAATCACCAAACCAAACTGGCTAGAGCAAGTCTTACCTTTTTAAAACACACTCCTTTGGGAGTCTCTCCCTGGAAAATGCACTTAAACTCAAAATACTGCATATACTTCAGACTCCACAAAACCCATCCAGTGAATTCTTAGGGGTCCAAGCCCCTAGATTGAGAACTGTTAATATAGATTTCTACCAGATACCCATTTACTCCTACTACTGAAGAGTCTGAAGCACATTCCTTCCCATTTTCCTGCCCAGATTTAGGGCTACTCAGTAGATGGGTTATATGTGTTGTGAGAAGGTGATGGTGTACTTGGCCTGCAGCCTTGTGAGGAGTCTATAGTCCTTTCATTATTGCCTTTGTTTTTAAGTTATTTCATGGTTGGTCCTCAGGACTTCAGGAGGGAGGATTCAAATTTCTTCTGTTGTAAGACTCCCAAGGTGGGTCAGAGTTGGCCAGAAGCATAGAGAAGATTCTATACAGTCAAGTACCCACTGGAGGAATGTAGCAGGATTGACCATGTCAGTCCCTCTGCAGTTATCTGTAATGTCAGATTAAGGTAACCACCTAGAAGCTGGTAGTGGCCCCTTCCTTTCCCAGGAGACAGATGTAGCCCTAAAACACAGAAACACCTACAAGGAAGGTCTGGGATTAGAGTAGTTCTCATCACAGAAAACCCCTCTTCCAAGCCTGGTCCTAGGTAAAATGGCCATTCTGTATCAAAGTCAAAGAGCAGAAGAGGACCCCTTTTGGCTGGACTCCTATTGCTCTTGCAACTCAGTTTTATCTCATCTTTGCTCTGTCACTTCATGGGTACCAAGAGCCTTGGCCAAGTATGAGGAAATGTTTATTATTATTATTTGCTCTGACTACTCTGCACAAAGATGCCAAGTAAGGATGGAGTAAAGATCTTGGCAATTACTCCTGCCTTGCACAGATGAATGGTTGTAGTCCACCTAGTCCCTTAGTTGTACTTGTTTGTATTCCAAGCACTGAAGGCAGATATTCAGTATCCCTTTACAATCAAGATGCTAAATATCTGAACTCATTCACTAGCTCTTATAAAACTTGCCTTCTGGGAACTGAAGACAAAGCAAGGATTTGTGACTACTGTGGATCACTTCGGGAGCTGCCTTGAGGCTGGCCATTTGTGACTTGAAGCCACATCTTTCATTGAGGATCCAAACCTTGGATCATCTTTTATTTGCTTGGGCTACTAAGGGGTCAAGGTGATGTTCAGGATGTAAAAAAGATGCTGCAAGTGCCTGCGAGACCAGGTTTTATGGCAAGCTAGAGCCACCACTAATTCTCTGCAATGACTTCACAGGACTTGCTGAAGCATAAGCAATGAACCTACAAGTAATCAGAAGTGCAGAGCACACAGATTACACATGCTGAGAGAACAGGTCATGGTCCTGCAACACAAACTTGCATACAGTAAAGATCCCAGGTTGGCATTTTGGTCGGTGCTTAGCATTTTGGTTTGTGCTTAGCAAATCCCTTCCTGCTGTGAGCATCAGGACAGAGTGGGCTGACAACACTCAGATGAGCTGTCCTACCCTAAATCCAAAGCAGCAGCTCACAGGTCTCCTCTACTGCCTCACTTCTTACTCCAAACATGATGGGTGGCTTACACACCTATCCTACTTGGGGCCCCTCTCTCTCTCTGTTCCCTCTTCACTTCTACTAGGGCTGGGATTGGCCTGAACACTCCCATCCAGAAAAAAGGCAGGGGCTGCCAGATACATCCTGAGCAAGTGAATATTTAGCCACAGCATCTAGATTAGTGTAACAATGGGGAAAAAAAAGACGGAATTTCCAAAAGGTAAATTTCTGTGTATTCACGCCTAATCTTCCAAAAGTTGTGTAAACAAATTTTTCTACCTTCCCCCATCATTTGCACAATTTTTGTCAAGTCCAAACGTAATTTAAAATGAGGTAGGTAGTTTCTCTCTACTCATGCCTTCATCTTTGTGGCGACTGTTGAGGCCTGTACTTGAAAGCACTATTCTCCCATGTAGGGGGAGCTTCAAAAGTTGGGCACCAGTGACTGGTGGAGCTTTTCAGTTGGCTATTTTCTCAATCTCATCCAAATCATCCGTGTCCAATCTTTCTATTTTCTTATCTGAGGGAGAAAAAGAATCAAAGAGAAATCAACATGGGGTTACTGTGGAGACACACACCTAGGGAAGGGGCAGCACAGCAGGGAGATGAAACACACTGGGTAGGAACACGTCTGCCTCTGGCCACATTCATCCTTCATTTATCCCCAAAGGCTTCTGATGCCTGAGAAACAGACACTCACAGCAACAGTCAGAGGCCGAGACCCCCAGCCTGGCCAAGGGGGAACTGTCATTCACGTCCCTGACACTGAACTCTCCAGGTGTGCTCTTTGAGAGCTTCCATATTGTAGGGAAGGAGGGGAATGGGGACAGGGACAAAGCCTCCCTAGGGGCCATGGGAAAACCTACTCTTCCACCCACCCTTGGATTTGGCCCTATAAGGAAAGGGCCCCGGCAGAGGACAGTCTCAGGGACTCACTAAAATGCTCCTGGATTCTGTTGAGGATGTTCATGCTGTGCTTGCTGTCAACCATGTTCACTGCTAGGCCCCTCTTGCCAAAGCGGCCAGTGCGCCCGATCCGGTGCAGGTAAGTCTCATTGTCTGGGTTCCCATCCTTGTCCACGGGAAGGTCAAAGTTGATGACAACAGAAACCTGTTCAACATCGATACCTGCATGAAGGAGAGTTGGAGAAGAGTAAGGATGAGAGACAGAAGTCACTGTCACTTGCCCACAGTCAGCCTGGTGCACCAACTTTGGGTGGAGGGAGTCAGGGTGGGCCAGCTCTGGCATTCACAGACAAGCAGCACACAGCAGAACCCAGAGGAAAACCATAAGACTTTGGCAGGTGCTAACAAAATTATGAAGTCAGTAAGAGAGCCTCTGCTAGACACAAGTGCCTGGAGATGCAACTGAAACCTCAATGGATGCCCCAAGAAGAGCAGGTGCTGTTCTAGACCAGTCAGAAGCCTGTACATTTCCTTCCACCAAGTCAGGACTCAGNAACCAGTCAGATGCCTGTACATTCCCTTCCACCAAGTCAGGACTCGGGCTTCTGTGAAAGTTCTTATCTGCTGAGGGATTCCAGCCCCCTAGAAAAAAATGTCATCACCAACCCTGCTGATCTCTCCCAAACCATCTGAGTTTTTCATATATGAGGATTTTTCTCACTATTCTGAGTCTGGCAGACAAGGACAAGTCTCTGCTCACCACGGGCACACACGTTGGTGGTCACCAGAACCTTCTCTTTGCCCTCTCGGAAGCGCTCAATCACCGCAGCCCTCTGCTCCACCATCATTTCACCACTCAGCAGAGCCACCTGGTGGCCTTCTTTTGAGAGCTCTGCTGCCAGCCAACTGGCTGTTTTTCGGGTCTGGAGTGAAAAGAATTGTTTTAAATGAAGATACCTGTAAAAAAAAATGAAAACACCTGCAGAAAAATGGCTTTTCGCTATTTATATTCATGAAGACCCTGTGGCATTCAGTCAGGAGGTTAGGCTTAAAAGTTTTCAAATAGAATTTTAGCCACATGATTTTTAAAAATTTTTTATGAAATACTTAAGTGATCTTATTGTTCATCTAGGAAGTGTGTGGTTTCAACCAAAGGTTTTCATTAAAAAGTCTTATCTTCTTAATGTTTTAGCATTATTTCATTGGGTGTTATTTGGAGTTTTTTCTTTATTGAGATTTTTTAAATTGATTTTTTAAAAAGAAAGGGAGAGAGAGAGAAACATAAATTGGCTGCCTCCTGCATGCCCCCTATTGGGCATCTAGCCCACAACCCAGGACTGTTCCCTGGCCAGGAATCAAAATGGCAACCCTTCAATGCACAGACAGGACTACACCCAACCAACTGAGCCATACCAGCCAGTGCTGGAGTTCTTTTCAAGTTATCTCTAAGAAATGGGATTCAAGAGAGTTCGGATTTTCAGAGTCTTCCCTTTGTAACTCATTATATTAAGAGGAGAATATGCCCTAGGGCAGGTGGAAGTGATTCAGTTTCTTTCTAGTTCTATGGAGGGAACCTGGTCCTCCTCAGCACTAAGGTAGAGCCAGCTGAGAGGGAGGGGAATGGGCAACACCTTTCCATGGAGCTCCTCCTAGGGCAGGCCTGCTCCTGCTGCTACTCACATGGCAGAAGATCATGGCTTGAGCAATGGTGATGGCCCCGTAGAGGTTACACAAGGCCTGGAACTTCTCGTCTCTGTTACTGCACAGGACGTAATACTGCTTGATGGTGTCCAATGTCTCCTCCTCACGTTTCAGTTTGATAATGTTTGGGTCTGGAACCACTTTCTGGGCAAATTTCCAGACAGAGTCTTCAAAAGTGGCAGAGAAAAGCAGCATCTGGCAGTTCCTGGGCAGCATCCTGCAAGGCAAGGCCCAGGTGTTTGGCATGACCCTGAGTTTCACACTGGAACAAACAAGCACAGCCTCCCCGGGCGTGGACGGTCTATATCCCTAGGAAGGTGGCAGAGGTGGAGGAGCACTGTGGGGAAGGGGCAGGAGCAGACATGGGGCAGAGAAAGGGTGGTGTTAGATTCCCTAAGTCTTTTTCCTCAACCCAGGCTGGGAGTATGGTCATTGCTGACATGGCCCATCAAACACATGCTTCTGAAGGTTCTGAAGCAAAGAAGCCAGCATGAGAGAGGAATTGGATATAACAGGTGTAGACATAGAGAAGAAGATTTTTATTTGCAGATCAGGAGGCTGGGAAGTTCCTCCCGGATCCAGAGTCTTACCTTTGGATGCGGATACTCTGATCTTGGTGGCCCTGAGTAGCTATCATCACATCAGCCTCATCCAGAACAAACACCTTGATCTTCTTGGGGTCAATGAACTTGAGCTTGGCACACCAGTCTAAGACAGTCCCAGGGGTGCCAATGACAATGTGCTCACTGATCTTCTGACCTCTTTCCACTGTGGAGACAAGATGTTTTTCATGGGTATGTCCATAGCAAACCTGGCTCTCCTCTCTGAGAAATTCTAAAGCTGTGATGTATTTTAATGCAATTGTTTTGATGTTTGCATTAATATTTTAAGGAAAGGTTAGGATTTCACTACAGTATTTAATGGAAACACACAGAAAAGACAATAAAAAGATATATGAAGGATATAAACAAGATTAAAAAAAAAACAAAACCTCTTCAGTAGTATTCTTTTTCATTCTGTATTCTCTTTCAAGGATCTGTTATCTTTATTTCTTCTCTGTCAACATCATTCTCCCTAGACCAGGACTGCATTTCTTTACAAGTAGACTTTTCCAAAGTTCTCACTCCAGTACACTCTGCCCCTCAGTTCTCCCAGCATCTACATCAAACAAGTCAGTTGCCTTTACATGCCCCATACCCAGGTCAACAAACAGGGTTCATTATGAAAGGCTTTGTTTTTTCAAACACAATCTACCTCTCTCTCTTTTTTTTTTAATCCTCACCTGACAATATTTTTTCCATTGCTTTTCAGAGAGAGTGGAAGGGGGAGAGAGAGAGAAAAACATCAATATGAGACAGACACAATGACTGGTTGCCTTCTGCATGTGCCCCGACTGGGGCTGGGGATCCATCCTGCAACCAAGGTACATGCCCTTGGCTGGAACTGAACCCTGGACCCTTCAGTTCATGGGCCAATGCTCTAACCACTGAGCAAAACTGGGTAGGGCACAATCTACCTCTCTTAAAGTGCTTCCCAGACTAGGCCTGGCAGACCATGACACATTCTTGGCCCTGCGAAGTCTGAAGTTGAGAATTTGGTTCTTCATTTTCAATCAGATGGTACTTACTGATTCAAATTTTAGTACTTTAATTATACTCTTGACAAGACATATACAAGCTCCCTCTAGTCACAGCCAAAATTTCGCCCAAATGTGAATGTTGAGTCAATTCAAAGCTAACAAATGCTGCTGCTTATTTCAGTTAACAATTACTGCCCCTCATAAAACAATTATTCAGAATTCTCTGCCATTCTAACTCAAATCCAAACTGCAACATTTTAAAGGTCTTATGATAATTTTTCACTAAGTTTTATTACCTTACTCTTCTCTTCAGAACTGACCTCACATTAGGGCATTGTACGCAGAGTAGATTTCTGCGAGTCATAAAGTCATAGGTTTGTGTTAAAGATCCATAGGACTCAACCAAACTTCTAAGAAAATTTAAATTACTTAAATATTATCAGTTTGCTGTAAAACAAGAGTAGAAAATATGAATAAAGAAGAAAGAATAAAAATAAGCTCCCTGAGTTAATTGCCATGAACATTCTAGGGAATTAAATCCAGAACTTGGAACATTTTATAAGAAAATAGGTGTGTTCAAAAAGTCAAATATAATGGTTGGGGGGAATATGAGGGGACTGTTCTAGATTGAAAGAGACTTAAAGAGGTACAATAACAAATGCAGTGCATATACATTGACTCGATGTTGGTTCAAAAACAAAAGAGCAGTAAAGAAACACTTGGGACAATTGGGAAAATTAAAATGACTAGGTGTTATTTATTAGAGAACCTATTAATTTTCTTGGTTGTGATAAGGGTATTGTGGGTATGCTGAAGAATGTCCTCATCATGAAATGCATATTAAAGTATTAGGAATAAAAAGCCACAATGTCTGCAATTTCCTTTCAAATGGTTCACCAGAAATATCCACATATATATAAAGCAAATATGGCAAAATGTTAAGTTTTCGAATCTAGGTGTTCATTGTATTATTTCAACTACTGTGTAAAATTTTTCAAAATACAAAGAAGTTATCAGCTTAATGAATTAGGATCATGTATTCATACTCACATTTATTGCCTCGAACAGCATAAGCTAGCTTCAGCTCAGGGTAAAATTTGCCCATCTGCTCAATCACTTTTCCCGTTTGAAGGGCAAGCTCATATGTTGGGGAAAGGCACAGACACTGGTAGGAAGAGTGCAGAGTGAGAATTCAAGACAATAGCTCTTTTGCAATGGGGAATTACCATCAGGATTTAGTTATTCTTCCAGCTAAGGCTGAAGGAAAGAATATGTAAAGTGTACAACATTTGATTCTTTAAGCTGCAGAGTCATAAGGTAGAGTTCTTAGGGGTCAGAACTGTGGCTGGGTAAAGACACTTGAAAACAGCTACTGGCCAGTGGAGTACGAAAACCTACATGTGAGCAAGGATCTGAAATTCAAATTTGAGATAAGCTTCCTTTTCACTTTCTCAGAAAGTTCTCAACTTTCAAATGGATGAGTAGTTGTAGATGAAGGAGGTTTTTCCTGCAGTTAAGGAGTCAAGGCTATCAGCAGTATCCCAGAACTGGCAAACCATGGAAGGGAACAGGATTTATTATTTTTTTTAATCCTCACCTGAGGATATTTTTTCCAGTACTTTTCAGAGAGAGTGGAAGGGAGGGAGGGAGGGAGGGAGGGGGGAAGAGAGAGAGAGAGAGAGAGAGAGATCAATGCGAGAGAGACACATTGATCGGTTGCCTCCCGCATGCACCCTGCCTAGGGCCAGGGATGGAGCCTGCAACCGAGGTATGTGCCCTTGGCTGAAAGCAAACTTGGGACCCTTCAGTCTGCAGGTGGACGCTCTAGCCACTGAGCCAAAGTGGCTAGGGCAACAGGATTTTTGTTGTTACTAGATCAACTATGTTGTTTGTGCCCAACTTCAGGGGCTCTAGTTTATGTAAAAAGTAATACATGACATGACTTTTAATCCATCAAATGGCATTTCCCTTCTAGTTATGCATTAGCAGAAAACCCAAATTCACCAAAAGCTCTCACCTGGGGGTATCTGTTTGCCGGTTCTACATGGCTGAGCATGGCCAATACAAAGGCAGCTGTTTTACCAGTACCAGACTGAGACTGGGCAATTAAGTTCTGTGGGCTAAACAAGAAAAAAAAAAAAAAGTTTAGGAGCTTAAATCTAGAGCCTTGTTACTCAAAAAGTGGTCTGACTCCAGCAGAATCAGCATTACCTGGAAGCTTACTAGAAATAGCGACCCTCCATCCCCACCTCAAATCTACTGAAATCAGAATTTGCATTTTAATAAATTCCTTTGAGACTGATAGACTATGGAAGTGTGAGAAGCACTGCACCAGAAAACCACCTTAGTAATTGTACCATTCTAGTCTCCTAGAACACTGTTTGGTTTTTGCATACTATATTTGACACAATAAATTGTATATATCCATCTAATGAAATCATGGTGTATGAATGATATACATATATGTTTACCAAATACAAAGATGATCACATAAATAAAAATTTAAAAGCATATAAAATTTTATATCCATTTAAAAATATATATATATACACACATATGTAAATTTATACAGAAAAACCTCTGCCCTGGCCAGAGTGGCTCAGTTGGTTAGAGCGTCGAACGGTGCACCAAAGGACCATGGGTTTGATTCCAGGTCAGGGCACATACCCAGGTTTTGGGTTCAATTCCTCGTTGGGGTGTGTGTGGGAGGCCACCAATCGATGTTTTTTCTCGTCCCCTCTCTCTCTAAGAGAAAAAAAAATTTTAGAAGTCTCCACTTCAAATATTAATAGTATGTGGGGGAGGGAGATTATGAATGATTTGTTCTAACATTTCTAAAATGAGCATGTATTAGTAGTATAGTTTTTTAAAATAATGAACATTTTTTAAAAAGTAGAAAATTAAAAATGGGATAGGGTTGTCAGGACACATACGGCTCAGCAAGCATCAAAGGCAATGCATTCTCTTGTATCTTGGATGGACGGTTGAAACCCATGGCATAGACTCCCTGGAGAAGCTGTGGTTTCCTAGAAAAACAGTTAATGATGCAAGTCAGTCTCTTTGATTCAGGAAAGAAGCCAAATATGTGGGAGAATTTTTCTCTTTTTTAACTGCTGTTACCCACAGCTTATAACTAATAGTACTTGAACTGTGCTGAACTGAGTTCAATGCGTAAGTGCAGATAAAATTTTTATACATTACCTGGAAATTTTACTTAATAGCTCAAAGCAACTACATTTTTAAAATTAAACTTGAGTTAGCTAAAAGTGTTCCATTGTGATGAAAAAATATATATCTAACAGCCTAGGATCTATCTAAACACAAAAGGGAGAGTAAGAAAGCAAACAAATACTCACAACCGAAGCTCCTCAAAAGACTTCACTGAGTAGAGAGGGGAGTTTGGATCCCGTTGCAAGACTTCCACTTGGTTTGTATTATCGACAAGGTTGTTTCTGATGAGCTTGTTGAGTAAGGACTGGGCAGCTCTGTCCTCTGTCAGGAAAAAGAGAGCAAAGAATTTTAAAAGTCCATGAAATCTACCATGAGCTCATCTGAATTTAACTGCCATTGGTATTTTAAACAGTAATATTTACACTGGGACTTTTTTTCCTTTCTTTTTTTCAAAGAACAGCTTATTGACTTTTAGAGAGGAAGGGAAAAGGACAGGGAGAGAGAGGAAGAAACCTCCTGCACCGCTCCCACCGAGAATTGAGCCCGCAACCTGGGCATGTGCCCTGACTGGGAATTGCACCAGCAACGTTTTGGTGTACAGGACGATGCCCAACCAAGTGAGCCACACTGGCCAGGGCTGTACTGGGACTTCTAACTCAAGGTATATCACAGTTTTGACGTATAATTTAATTTGTTTTATTAAAGAGAAAGGTTATGATACTCATAGCATCCATTTGGGCCTCATATTCTTCCTCAGAACTCTATTTCTAACAACTGTCCTTTTCTGAGGTTATCTATTCTTCCTATCTAGACCCACATATCTACTCCCCAATTTGCACTTAATATAAACTTAAAATGATTAACTTAATAAATATATCACAACAATGAAAAAAACAAATGTTGAAGTCTATATCTTGATAACATATAAGCGGCTTGCATCTTGTTATCTACGTTGAATGTGTCAAAATATTAAGTTTAATTTTATTAGACAATGGGGATGCAACTTAAAATTTCTTTTATAATGCCCTGTAAAAAATAATCACTCAGGGAGTATTTCCTGCTGCTGCTGAAGTTCATCAGTTGTTCAAAGTAAAATTTCTCTAAAATGTAAACAATTAGAATTCCCTCATCAACGACTATGTTGAACTTTAATTAGCACTATGACTCCCATTAAAGTCAAGCCAAGTTGGGTGTAAAAATGAAGCCTCTTAACAACCCATTCTCTTATGCTGTAGAACCTCAGTATATAGCTCTTAAGACTGTGTTACCTTTCTCTTCTTCATCTGTCTTCTCTGCATTAGCATTGGTCTTGACGACAGCACCTTTATCAGACATAAAGTGGCTGTCATTCAAAATCACATCCCATACCCAACAGCTGAGACAATTCAAATTCTACGAGACACTAGAAATGTAAAGGCCTGAGGAGCAAAAAAAACAATGAGGAAACCAAGCCACAGATAAAAACATTTTACTGTTCCTAAATAAACAAAGGTATGAAACACTGTAGCTTATATTTTAATCCTTTCCTATTCCGAGGCCTCTCACCATACCTCAAAACTAATGTTAATTTCCCTCATAGCATCAACATTTATGAAATGTTACAGAAAGATGGTTACAGAAGTCGGTGATCAGAAATCACCTTGATGCTCAACACCTATGCAAACCAAATTTCATCAGTACATGAATACAATAATGCCATTAAGAGTCTATGTATATAAACTGTTGATTAATAGAAATGTATACTCAATGTTGTAATTATGTAAAAATATACAGAAAACAGATTATAAGTGAATTCAGTGAGGCAAATGTTACAATTTCCTGCCTATAATATTAAGTATATCAACAAAAATTTAATAGAAATCTTAAGATTTTTGGTACATGATTTCAGAATAATTACCATAGGTTAACTCTCAGATTGCTCACACTTTGTCTAGTTCATCTCAAACTGAGGATTATTTTTAAAAACAGCAATCTTTGGCAGTATAGTCTCATGGTTAGTAATAAATTTAATAATGTATAAGCCAATTAGGCATCCTCATGCTTATATTAAACACAATATAAAACAAAACAATCCAGTTTATTGATTTCCAAACCAAATGACTGCCAGTCTCCTGTCTGGTTACATATATAATATTTTTGCAGATAGTTATGTCAAAACAGGAATACTAAAGTAAATCACCTTTGTTTTCAAACTAGCTTTTAGTTACTCACCATTGGCATCTGGTTTGATTTTCTCTTCCTTAAGATGCAAGTTGCTCAACTAAATGGAGAATGGGGGGGAGGGAAAGTGTCAGGAAAATCACTTGAAAGATTTTGAATCAACAGAGCCTTCCCAGTGAAGCTGGGGACACATGAGCCACTCTCAAGACTTACTCATTAGATAATTCATTAGATTGTTCTGCTGGGCTCCTTTTGTAATCCCTAATTACAATCCATAAATTCCTAATTACAATCCCTAGAGAAAATTATAATTTATGAGTTTGCTTAATTCTCTGATTACAAAGACCTCTCAATAGAATATCATTTGAGTTGTCATGCTCTCATATTCCAAAAAGGAGGAAATTTAAAGAGATATTGGAAAATGTATCTATAAGTAGGAATTAGTTATGTTACAGGATATGTTTGAGCCACAGGACCACAGCACACCGATATGCAGCTTCTTGTGCTGGATGTCTGATAGGTAGGTAGGTAGGTAGGTAGGTAGGTAGGTAGGTAGGTAGATAGATAGATGATAGATATTTTTAAAATATATCTTTATTGATTTCAGAGAGAGGAAGGGAGAGGGAGAGAGATAGAAACATCAACGATGAGAGAACCATTGATCGGCTGCAGCCCACAACCCGGGCATGTGCCCTCACCAGGAACAGAACCCCGATCGCCTGTATCCTAGGTCGATGCTCAACTGCTGAGCCAAGCCCGGCCGGGCTGGATGTCTGATATTTTAAACTTGGAACAGATTGGAGGATTGTTGCAGGCTATGTAATCAAAATACTCAGCAGGCTGAAGTGGGAATAGATAGGAAGGGACAGAACAAAGAGACATTTCAAAGAAAGAATTATCAGGATTTAGATCAAACACTGTAAATTAGGGATATCCTGGCAGGATTTATCTCCCCTATTAGAATGAAAATACCCCTTTAGTTGTCAATCATACCTCAATAAGCTGAAAAAAAAGAAAATACCTTAAAGACAGGAGATATTTTTATTTTTAACCTTTGGATGGAGCAAAAAGCAAGTACTGTAATCTTAAAATACTAAGTGGTACCACGCACAATCTAGTCCAGAGTAAAAGTATGAAAATCATAATAAATAGGTATTTCTTAAAGCACCACCCACATAGGTTCTTAATGTCTTGAGGTTCATTTCTGTCTTTCCTCTACTTCTCAGGAGGGAGAAAGAGGAGGAAGGAATGAAAAAGTTGTTTGTTTTAATGGGTGGTTGGTTAGGAGTGGAGGAACTTCTACTGATGGAAACTGAAAAGGGGGTTTCTGGTGTCTGTCTACTTTGGTGTTGAGCCAGAGGGACACACTGGAGAGAATGGCAAGAAAGGAAATTGGCAAAAAATAAATAAATAAATAAATAAATAAAAATCATCATAAAGCAGTAAAAATCTTCATTATTCTAAAGAATAGGGGCCACACTAACACATAATGAGTATGAAGCAACCAGCACAGTATATGATATGTAAATAGTTTAGTTGTTCAATGATTTTAGTCTTCACTAAAGTATTCCTCCTCCACATCCTGCCAGTGAACCTAGTTTAAGTCCAATAGTATTCAGGGCTGTTAAAAAAGAGAGAGACTGACTTATTGGCAATATTTATAAGAGTAAGGTTAATAGTATTCACTCCTAGGGTCATAAGTGCTACTTAAAATAATATGTTAGGGCTGAGGTCTAAATAAGTTAATGAGGTATAAAAGAGTTAGAAATATCCATTACTGTAAAGTATTTTAATATTCAATGGCAAGAGGACAAGCCATTTATTTGTTGATAGATTTTTCAAATCCAAGTTAAGAGTAAGTAGTTAAAATAACTAAAATACAGTGTGTAGGGGTGACAAAAATAAAAGAAAATACAATGTGTAGGAAAAGTTGGCAGCAACAATGTAAATGAAACATGTTTTAATACAATGTGTCAGAATTCTGGAGAAGTTCCAGCAGAATCTAAAAACACACTCAGCCCTCATTTGGCTATAAGGATCTCAAAGCCCATAAGGTAAAAGCAGCAGGACAGTAAAGTTTGTATTATCCACTGCAGTGTGAGTTAACTGAACACTGAAGCTTATGGTGAAAGCAATTAGTTCAGATACCTTCCTTTGCTCTATTTGGACCAAAAATGAAAAACCAGTTTCTCTTGTGTCTTCATCAGAAACTACTTTAAAATTCAGAAAATAAACCAAAAGAGCAAAAACACCCACTTTATAATATCCACATTTTTTCAATGCCTTTAATTAATATTTTAGTTTTTAAGGTACATTAAGATCACTGAAAACTATAGTTACACATTGTATTTTATTCAAAAGCTTTCTGAGAAAGGATTCTTGAGAAATAAGAAGGAAGATTTAATGGAAAGTGAATAGGAAGGGCCTTAGGCAAAATGGTGAAGGAGGAGTCTTACACATCAGTTCTCTAACCCATTTGCCCTCCTCTAATGGAAAAGAATTATCCAATGGAACAAAGGGGAACACAGGAGCCACTGGGGAATGAGGAAATAAATATAAATAGAATCGAATATTTTCTTATATAAAATGAATAAGAAATGAAGCTTAATGAATATTTAAAATACAGTAACCTAGCACTGTGCGTGTCATAGTCACCTATGGTCATGCGATGCCTGTGGGGATCCTCAGTGAGAGTTCCATAAAGGCAGAGGGTAACAAAGGTGTTTTTATCATTTATTCAGTTTTAGAATATTGTGATCTATTATAATTTACCTGTGCATGGTTAAGTAGATTCACAAATCTTATCTGGGGTCAACTAACTAATCCATACAATACAGACAAGTAATTTAAAATGTTCCTGCAAAGAAACTGTCAATTATAGATAACAACAATACAACAATAGCTATCATTTACATAGCACTTATATCGGGCATGTCTATAACTCAATGAGGTAGGTACTGTGATTATCCCCATTTTATAGATACCAAAACCAAGGCACAGAAAAGTTAAGCAGTTTGCCCATGGTTATATAACTAGTAAGTGAGGGACCTGGAATACAAATGCAAGTCCTGCTACAAAGTCTGAGGTCTTAATCTCTATACAATAGTGCCTCTCATAGATAATACTAATCTCAACGAAAATAATAATATAAGGATGATACAAAGGGGCAGCTGCTTTGGAAAACAGCCTGGCAGTTCCTCAGAAGTTAAACATACAGTTACTATACGATGCAGCAATGCCACTTCTAGATACACACTCAAGAAAATTGAAAATATGGTCACACAAAAACTTGTACATGAAATGATCATAGCAACATTATTCATAACAGCCAAAAAGTAAAAGAATCCAAATGCCATCAGTGGACATGATGAGTGGATAAATAAAATGTGGTATAGCTATACAATGGAATATTATTTGGCAATAAAAGGAATGAATACAGATACCTGCTGCAACATGGATGAAACTTGACATTATGCTAAGTGAAAGAAGCCAGGCACAAAAGACCACATATTGTCTGGCTGGGTGTGGCTCAGCAGTTGATACTCGACCTAGGATTCAGGCAATTGGGGTTCGATTCCCGGTCAGGGCACATGCCCGAGTTGCGGGTTCGATCCCCAGTCAGGGGTGTGCAGGAAGCAGCCGATCAATGACTCTCTCATCATTAATGTTTCTCTCTCTCTCTCCCTCTCCCTTCCTCTCTCTGAAATCAATAAAGATATATTTAAAAAAAAAACAAAACCACATATTGTATGATTCCATTTATATGACATGTCAATAGGCAAATCTCAACAGACAGAAAATAGATTAGTGGTTGTCTAGGGATGGGAGGTTGGAGGGAAATGGGAGTGACAGCTAAGGCATACAGAGTCTCTTTCGGGGTGATAGAAAAGTTCTAAAATTGTGGTGATGGCTGCACAACTCTATGGATATACTAGAAACCAGAGAACTGTATGTTTTCAATGGATAAAATATATGGTATGTAAATACCTCAATAAAACTGTTTTTAAAAAAAAGGTCCTAGCCTGTTTGGCTCAATGGTTAGAGAGCTGGCCTGCAGACTGAAGGGTCCTGGCTTCAATTCCGGCCAAATCGAGCATCGGTTGCAGGCTCCAGTCAAGTATGTGTGGGAGGCAACCAATTGATGTGTCTCTCTCACATCAATGTTTCTCTCACTCTCTCCCTCCCTCCCTCCCTTCCACTCTCTCTGAAAAGCAGTGGGGGGAAAATTGTTGCAATCTGGAAGAATATATGGTTTTGCTTATCCACAGTTTTGCTTTCCAAGAATTCAGTTACAGTCAACTGTGGTCTGAAAATATTAAATGGGAAGTTAGAGAAATAATTTGTAAGTTTTAAACTGTATGCCGTTCTGAGTAGCATGATGAAGTCTCATACCATCCCGCTCTGTCCCTCAAAACATCCCTTTGTCCAGCATGTCCATGCCGTACATACAGTATAATAAGATATTTTGAGACAGAATGATACCATATTCATGTAACTTTTATTACAGTATATTGTTATAATTGTTCTACTTTATTATTAGTTATTGTTAGTCTCTTACTGTGCCTAATTTATAAATTAAACTTTATCATAGGTATGTATGTACAGTAAAAAACAGTATATATAGGTCTGGTAGTATCTGTGGTTTCAGGCATCCACTGGGGTATTGGAAAGTATGCCGCTTGGATATGGGGGAACTATGATATATGCAAAATACACATCTATTAAAGGACTTGTATCCAGAATATATAAAGAACTTTCCCAACTCAATAATAAGAAAACAATATGATTTTTATTTTTTTTTAAAAATATCTTTTAATTGATTTTGAGAGAGAGAGGAAGAGAGAAGGAGAGAGAGAAAAACATCAATGTGAGAGTGGAACATCCATCTACTGCCTCCTGCACATCCCCTACTGGGGATCGAGCCCACAATCCAGGCATGTGCCCTGACCAGGAATTGAACCAGCAACCTTTCAGTGCACGGATGGTGCCAACCAACTGAGCCACACTGGAAAGGGCAAGAAAACAATCTTATTTTTTAAATGGGCAAAAGATCTGAAAAGCCACTTCAAAGAAGTTACATGGATGGCAAATAAGCATTTAAAAATATTCTAAACATCTTAGTCATTAGGGAAAATGTAAATTAAAATCACAATGAGATACCACTAGATACCTATTGGAATAGAGAAGAAACTGGCTATGCTGTGCTGGTGAAGATGTGAGGCAACTATAGTTCTAATACATTGCTGATGAGAACACAAAATGGTACAGCCACTTTGGAAAAAAGTTTGGCACATACTAATTTATAAAGTTAATAATAGTCTTAATATATAATCCACCAAATCCCATTATTAGGTATTTACCCCAAAGACATGTAAACATAACTTCATACAAATATCTGTATCCTAATACAAAGTAGCTTTATTCATAATTGCCAAAAACTGGAAAATACACAAATGTCCCATCAACAGAAGAATAAGCAAATTGTGGTACATCCATACAATGGAATACTACTCAGCAATAAAAAGGAACAAACTATTGATACATACAACAACATGGCTAAATCCCAAATACATTATGCTAAGTGAACGAAGCCAGATTTTTCAAAAAGTCACATATTGTATGATTCCATATATATGACATTTTGGAAAAGGTAAAACTATAGTGACAGGAAGCAAATGAGCAATTGCCAGAGAAGGGTAGGGAGAAGGGAGTTTAAGGGAACTTTTGGGGAGTGATGGAAATGTTCCATATTTTGATTGTGGTGGTGGTTACACAACTGGTGGTTACACAACAGAACAAGGGAAAGTTTTACTATATATAAATTATACCTCAATAAACTTGACTTCAATTGAAGGACAGAATTTGCGAGATTGAAAGAGACCCATCCAGTGCCCAGTAAAATGGATGAAAACAGACCCATACCAAGATACATCATAATGAATTTTCTAATATTTGAGATAAACAGAAGATTCTCCAAGCTTAGAAAGGGAAAAACAGGTCACATCAGGAGTCAGAATGGTCTCAGACATCTCAACAACAAATACAGAAATCTAAAAGGCAAGGGGAAAAAATGCCTTTAAAATTGAGCAGGAAGGTAATTTCCAACCACAATCCTACGCCCAACCATACTGTTGTTGACCTAATGATAGGGCAAAGTAAGATATTTTTGGAAATGCAATAAAAAAAACTTTACTTCCCATGTACTTCCAGAAAGCTGATGGATAGCTCCACTAAATGAAGAAAGATGAAGGGAGGGGATACAGAAAGGACAGGATCCAATACAAGAGAAGAGAAAATCCCCAGAATGGAGGCAAAGGGAAATCTGCCCTGTTCCCCTCCATCCCCCCAAATCAGTTGTACTCTAAACATAGGGGGAACTAGTTCAGTATGAATCAGGCTAAAAGGCCCAGCAAAAATGGAATTGATAATACTTGATGTGTCTGCACATCCTGAGATAGACAACTAGCAAAGAGTTGGGGTTGAATTGGTGATAAGTACAAAGAATACAAAGCAAAAACACAAAGCAATTATAAATTCCAAGGAAAAACAAAGTTTTATATGAAAGTAAAAGTATTCATGTTACTAATAATATAAACTTAAAATACTGATGATCTAACTAAAATTACATTATGATAATGAAAAGCTAGGGAATGAAAGGGTGTGCATGTGTGGTGGGGAAAGGAGGGTGGAGGAAAAAGTCAAGATCAATAAATACCTAAAACTGCAAATTTAAGAAGTAGGAAAACAAACATGTTATTTAGGGCACAAGGAGGTCAATATGGTAAATCAGTTTCAAGAGAAACTGAAAGTGGTGGTGGTGGGAACCAGTGTTTAAAATTATTTGACTCTTTGAACTATGTGCATATTACTTATTTATCAGTTATAAAAAATAAGACAAAGTCCTTGTTCTCAAATTCACGGAAATAAGTACTAACAGAAGTAGGTTCAAAGCAGTATCAGAACTTAAGAATAGGTCTAGGTGAGAGAAATTAATTCTACATGTTAACGTTTAACACATATCATCTTGCTTCCTGGGTGTCAGGCCCAGAATAAAGTTAAGCAGATCAGGAGAGGATTTACTGACTGCCAGGCCTACCGAGTGGCTCATTCATCGTCACTAAGCAAGGTGAGGGAGCCTACAGGTACGAGTAACCCATGGTCCTTACGCCCAAAAAGCTCAGAATCGGGAGTGGAAGATAACACCAACAAACGCGATTACGATCCAAGGTGTTGACTGATCTCGGATCAATCCTGATTGCAGGAAGACAGGCAGGTGGCTGGGCTCTTCAGAGACGGGAGCGCTCACCTGCGCTTACGCAACACGGGAGGTGGGCCGGTAAACAAAGCCAGCTCAGGGTCCGTCCCTGCCCGCACCCTGTCCGGCCCTCACCAACCCCGGGAGCGTCCGCTCCCAGGATCCGATCCCCGGCCGAAACTGACCCTCGGACCCTTTTACGGCTGAAGCCAACTCACCGACTCGGCCGCCGCTTCCTGCTCATCCACCGCCAGGGCCCACGAGTCAGTAGCCATGGTCCCGGGCGCGGGAGGGACGCTGGCGCTGGCGGACCCCGGG